TTTTCAAGACCTTATGGGATGACGTTTGTCTTGTTCTCTGAGAGCCAGTCTTTGGATTTTACTTACTCTTCATGGCTACTCTTGTGATATCAAGTGATTCCCAAATCTCTGTCTGCAGACGTGAACTGACCCAAGCACGGGTATAATTTCCAACGACCTTTCTCTCCACGTGGAAATCCTCCAGCGCAGCTCATCTCAAACGTGCCCACGCGTCCCCTGCTGATCTTGTAAAAAAAATACAGGTTCTGATTCAGTAGGGCTGAAGGGGAACCTGAGACTCTGCATTTCCAGCAGTTCCAGGAATACTGTTGCCCTGTCTCCTTGACTTTCAGAAACAGCAGTGGCTTGACTAGGATGGCAGTAGTAAATGTAGGGAGATGCAACAGGCCAGGGATAGATATACTTTAGTAGAGTGGCCAGAACTGTCTGCTGGGTTGGACACGCAATGCGGGAGGGGTCAGGGACGATCCCTAGGTTTCTGGCCAAAATAACAGGGTGGTGGTCATGCCAGGTCCTGCACCCATGGAGTAGATGCTGAGACTGCCAGCCCAGATCTTAAAGGGGCAGGTGCAGCCTTCCCCTGGAGCTGGGCGTGACTGCTCAGAGCTCACAGCTGCCCCCAGGGAATCAGAGTGAAGCTACCTCCACCTGCGACCAAGTCCTGCTTTCCCCACCCTCCCCTGCCTCCCTCTCTCCCCTTCTCCGGAGGGCGTTTCTTCTGCAAATCACTTGCCCAGGAGTTCCTGTCGCAGGCTCCACTTCTCAAGAACCTGACCTAAGACAGATGGGGAAGGTCTCCCTGAAATCTTATGATTTAACCCAAAATTTTTGATTAAAAAGGCTTTGGGGGGTTTTTGCCTAGGTATAATAGGGCTGGGGGCGCTGGGGAGTGGCGCCTGAAGGGAACAGCGTTTCTTTTCGGGGTGATGTAAATGTTCTAAAACTGACTGTGGGGCTGGTTGTATATACCTGTGAATATACTAAAAACTGTTGAATGGTACAGTTTACACGGGTGAATTGTATGGAATGTGAATTACATCTCAATTTTTAAAAAGCAGTTAAAAAAAAAATAGTTGTCCATCTTCTGCCCAAAACAAAAAAGGCCACCCTTCTTGGTCGAGGCCCCAGGTTGCCTTCCCAACCTTACCTCCCATTCTGGCCTCCAGGTATGGGCTCCAGCCAAGTTAGGCCCTCCCCCTCCCCCGCCCCCAACCATGTGCTCTGCTGTTCTGTGGCTTTGCCTGCCCGCCATACCTCCAGGAATGCTCCACTGGGTCCCACCTCCAGCTAAGTGTGAAGCCCTCGGTCTCTCCCGGGATTCCTCAGGGGCCAGTGTGGTGAAAAGGAGGGGGCATGGACTTTGGAGTCAGACCCACCTGGACTCAACAAATCCTAGCTCCCCACTTACTGCGTGGGACCTCAGATAAGTCACTTCGTGTCCCTGAACCTCAGTTTACTCATCTGTAAAATAGGGATCAGCCATTCATCCTACAAATACTGAGCTACCCAGGCACCATGCTAGGCACTGGGAACATGGCTGTGAGCAAAACAGATGGGGGAGGATACCTGCCTTGCAGGTTCTGAAATCATCTCTGGTAGTGTTTGGCACATTTAACTGTCATTTAGTAAATGAAGGGTATTATCATCATTTCCTTTCACTCTTTTAGTCTTGATCCAGGGCTCATCCGCAGCTGCTTTATTTTCCATCTTGTATTCAGCCTGTGTGTCTCCTCTCCCTAAATGGGCCATCAAGTTCTTTAAGACAGGGATCAAGACAGATACTTGTTTTGTATTCCTCACAGCACCTAGTCAATGGCTCACTCTACTCATTAAAAAGTGGTTGAGGGGCCTTCCCCAGTGGTGCAGTGGTTAAGAATCCACCTGCCGGGCTTCCCTGGTGGCGCAGTGGTTGAGAGTCCGCCTGCTGATGCAGGGGACATGGGTTCGTGCCCCAGTCCGGGAAGATCCCACATGCCGCAGAGCGGCTGGGCCTGTGAGCCATGGCTACTGAGCCTGCGCCTCCGGAGCCTGTGCTCCGCAATGGGAGAGGCCACAACAGTGAGAGGCCCGCATATCGCAAAAAAAAAAAAAAAAAAAAGAATCCGCCTGCCAATGCAGGGGTCACGGGTTCAAGCCCTGGTCCAGGAAGATCTCACATGCCATGGAGCAACTAAGCCCATGCACCACAACTACTGAGCTCGTGTGCCATGACTACTGAAGCCTGTGCGCCTAGAGCCCATGCTCCACAACAAGAGAAGCCACTGCAATGAGACGCCTGCACGCTGCAATGAAGAGTAGCCCCCTCTTGCTGCAACTAGAGAAAGCCTGCGTGAAGCAACAAAGACCCAACGCGGCCAAAAAAAAGTGGTTGAATGGATACATGCATGCATTATTGTTTGGCACTTCTGAATCTGAAAGAAAATCTGAAGTAATTCTCAACTCACTGGCCCAGATAATTAAGACCAGTCTCAAATGGTAGCTGGTATAGAGCATCCTGGTGATGGCAAGAACGCTTTCCCTCATCCCCACTGAGAATGACAATCACAGCAAGGCCCAAACAAAAATGCACAGACAGGTGCATCCCACATGCACCTAAAGAGCGGTTTATAGAAATTGATCCTGGTGACTCAGTAATTTCAGTCGTCAGTCAGTCATGGAGAATTAAGTATCTTTATTCCTAAACTCAAAACAAGACAGACCCAGAACTTGAAAGAAAAAAAAAAGGCAAGTGACCTAAAGAGTTCACAGAAAAGCGTAAACAAAGCATTTGAAAAGATGCTTGGCCTCCTTCTTAAGAGAGATGCGAATTTAGTTACACTGAACTATCTTTGTTCACCTATCAGACAGATGAGGGCTCAAGTCTGAAAGGTAGTTTGATAAAGGTGTGAGGAAAGAAGCTGGTAGGGCTATAACTAGGGTCAGCCTCACTGGGGCACAATTCAACATTCTACATCCACGTAACAAATGTAAACCCTGGGAACCAGCACTTACAGTGAGGCATATGTTCAAAGTTGCTCTCGGTCCTTGGGGATAATGAGAAAGACTGTTCACGGGAGACAGGTGTGGACGAGATTTCCCACTGTATGCTCTTCTGAACCTTTTACACTTTGTTCTAAGTGAACGTATTACCTACTCAAAAAAAATACACACAATTTTTAAGTTCAGAAGAGCTTTAAGCCTAAGGGGGGAAATTCTTTTAAGCAGACACATTGGTTAATGGGTGCAGAATTTCAGTTGTGATGATGAAAACAGTTCTAGCAACGGATCATGGTTTAATGTCGCACAATAATGTGAATTCCCTGCACTGTATACTTAAAAGTGGTTTAAATGGCCAATTTTGTGTTACCCATATTGTACAATTAAAACAATTTTTTAAACAAAGTAAAGACAAGCACACAAGACCTCATGAATCATGAGGCCACATTCAAATACCATCACCAGGAATTCCCTGGCGGTCCAGTGGTTAGGACTTTGCGCTTTCACTGCCGAGGGCCCAGGTTCGATCCCTGGTCCGGGAACTAAGATCCCTCAAGCCACGTGGTGTGGCCAAAAAAAAAAAAAAAAAAAAATACCATCACTTGGAAGACCTAGATCACCTGAGTTATCTAGGGTAATCCTGAATGAACAGATGTTATCTTTCTTAATAAAGGATGATTCATTAATTGTAAAACTAAATTACAATGTAACCTTATTGACTTTGTAAATTTATATGAAAACATTTACAATGCAGGAAAAAAAATCCTTTGCCTTATGACATGAACTTGATATTTCCCTTGAAAAATGTTATCTCAATAATGATTACATTCAGAATGAAACGGCTCATTCCAAACCATAATTTATACTCTATACTAGGAAGTCCTTGCAAAACTGGCCTAGATTATCCAACACAGTGAATTTATATTTCATCAAGAACTGAATGGTTAAAAATGCAGTAAGTAGATGCATGGATAGAGAATAAAGACACTCATAAATATGTACTATATTTTGTTGCAAAATGTGTCCAAAAGAGTGCTAGAACTGCCACTGGTATAGATCATGACAGAGAGAGTTATTCTTTGTTCAGAGATGAATGGAGAAGCAAGAGCTGAATAGAGAAATAGCTATTTGCCTTGCATGTTCATTTCTAAAAAGAGATCCAAAGAAACTGGCCTTGACTGAACCCATAAGAAAATGAAAGGACAGTTTCCCTCTTTCTCTATACATACACACACACACACACACACACACACACACACACACACAAGGTTCCCCACTGGTCAAGAATAAGGTTAAGTGATCTTCACCATTGAATCCTAACTCCCTGTAATTCACTCCTCTATGTAACCATCAATTTCAGTTAATACCCTTATTGTTTACTCTAATCGAATTATAACTACCTGTATAACTGTTTTATTCATCCATTTCCCAGTCCCTAGCTTCTAGTGGGGATTTAATCTTTGCTGAATGGAAGAGAATTTGTACCCAAAACGGTCTATGGCCTTACCAGGTAGAGACATGACAACAAGTCTGAGCAACACATGAATTTCTTTGTCCATAAACCACCCACAGATTCTTTTTTTATATATAATATTTATTTATTCGGCTACGGGTCCTGGTTGTGGCACGTGGGATCTTTAGTTGCGGCATGTTGGATCTTAGTTGTGGCATGCGGGATCTAGTTCCCTGAGCAGGGATCTAACGTGGGCCCCCTGCATTGGGAGCATGGAGTCTTAACCACTGGACCACCAGGGAAGTCTAATCATGTCCTGTATACATTATACAGACATACTTTTTACTCGCTATTTACTCATAAGTTCTTCCAAATAAAATTCCCTGTCTCCCAAAGCTACTCATAAAATAGGCACTCAAATGCTTGAGGAACTGATTCATTCATTCTGAATTCCAGGTTCCCTTCTAGATAAGAGCTGCAAAATGTCAGCATTTGGCTAGTATAAGAGGTTGAGGGACCTGTAATCCCAGTTTTTCCTGGACATTTCAGATGAAGTAAATGACAAATACTATAATATACGAAAATGGTTTTATTCCTAATTTTTAGTTCCCATACAGTTTACAAATACACTTTTACTCTGATAATACGGCTTTGCAACTAGCAAAGCAGTTGAACTAACACCCATAAATACAGGCGAGGAGACAATTAACATCCACTAATGTTTCTCTACATAAACTATTCTTTTAATGTCATTTTTTTTAAAACAATTGCAAATAGACTACATAATATACGTGGGCAAAAAGGCAATTAAGTGAATCTCTTGAAACACTAATGTATAATAAACAGTGCATATTATCAACATTTACATGATTCACACCAAAGTGATGACATCCTAAAACGTATTCCTTTTAAAGGAGAGATTTATCAATAAAATATTACATATCTTTTAATACTCTGGTACAATACTTCATATACTGCAGGAAAATTAACTGTAGATCTAGTCATCGACTTAATAAAGGATCCTTTTCCATTAGCTTTTATTAATAAAAGAATCACAACTAGGTCATAAATAAACAGGCAAATTATTAATTACATGATTTGAGGTTTAGGATGAAAACTTGTAAAAATTAGTTTGATATACAGCAAAGTTATACAACACACTAAAACCAACTGTTTAATATTTTTGCCTTATGTGAACTGCCCATAGTAAAAAAGGAACAAACTTTTTAAGGATGGAAGATATAATAAACTATATTTTGGAACTTATTTTTCAAGAGGAAGAGGAAAAAAGATTTTAACGAAATTAAGGGCTAATACAGATCCTAATAAAGGCATATTGAAATCAGGGAGGCCATGTGCTTACGATGTAAAACTTTATTCCGCCAACAACATACAGAAAACAAAAACTGCACTGGGTTTGTACTTACGTCTACAGTCTAAGTTTCCCTTACGGATTAACAAGCTACAACAGAACACTTCACAATTGCATACCTTTTTCCACATTCCTCTGAACTAGAAATAACCCAGGACATTATATTAGTTCTTAAAAACCCTAGTAACCCCTTAATAACCCCTAAAAATAATCTTGATGATTTTCTTGGCTGTTCCAAAGCAACTGGGCTACGTAAAGAATGCACGAACACCCAAGAAAGTAGTACATGTATTTTCTCATCCCCGTTTAGCCACATTTGGAAAGTCACCGATTTCAAAGGGCGAGATGACCACAATTTTCAGGAGGGCCACACACTGGATACAAGGTGTCTTTTTGTTTTGTTTTGTTTTGTTTTTTTTAAAAAAAAACAGGCTATTAAGACTCTGAAATTTGGCTTTTTTAAAAAACCCCAATACCACATGCCAGATAATTTCTTCACCCCAAATATAAAATCCTATGCTTGTAATTCTAAAATACTTAGCCAGCTATGGGAATATTGTGCAAATTTAATGTCTACCAGCAACCCAGAAGCAGACTGCAGACGTGTAGCTATCACACCTATTTTCCAGGTAACCTGATTCAACTATTACTGACTGCTGTGGTCCCAGGCCCTCTGACTTCCTCAGAAACCACCTCTTTGGAACTTCCATTTCCACTGTTTTTTTTACACCCGCACCTCGAGCTCACCTCCCCCTCCCCCATCTTCACAGCCCCTCCACGTGAATCCATCCCATGTAATCTTACCGGAGAACCTGCACTCACCTTTACCAAACACACGACAAACCTAGGCAACCTAGGGACTATTAATCTTGTCTTGGCATCAGTTTACACCACATAATAGGTGCTGACTTCGTGGAGGGAAATCTAAATGAAATCAATGTCCTATTACAAACGAAGCTGGCCAGGATCAGGTGTTTCCAAGTGCAAAAACAACTGATCTTAAGCTACAGGCAGAGACGTTAATGCAGCAGATATGTTGTACAATCAAATCCTTGTATGCTGGTGAAAGACCTTGCCCCCAAAGTCCAGAGTCAAAACGTTATCGCAAAAACGAGGACCATTCAATGTGACAATGCAATACAAATAACAGGATTCAAGATCCTTGTTGCAAGTACTGAACTGGAATCTCTTTCTTTACAGGCTTGACAAGAAGACAGCAGTCATTTACATTCCTCTTAGAAGGTAATTTACCTTCAACAATTCTAAGTTCAATGGATGGGGGGGAGGGGAGGTGGGGGGAGAAGTCAATGTAATTTTGTCTGTGAAAATGGCAGCCAGGCTCTCCCCAAACAACCTCAGGGTTTCAAAGGAGGTAAAGACCTCAGAAAGGAGCTACTAACAGGGTTGGATCTAGTCCTTCCTTTTCTGGAGACAAAGCAAGAAGAATTCGATTAAGGAGATCATGACTTAACGGCAAAGCTGCCATGGCATTTTATTATCTTTACAAAGTCCACCAATGATGCTTCAATTGAAATACACTCATTGAATGATGATTCAACACACAGGGCAAAGAGGGATGTCTTTGGAGAAGGCACTTCAGGTAGAACATTAGCAAATCCTACTGCTTGGTTAAAACAAAAATGAGCTACTGCTAATTCAATCTGACTAGTGGCCTCATGAGAACTGCCCCTCCGCACTGCAGCCTTGACTGCGTGCATGGGTGTGGGGCCCGACTGAAGCCAGGGGCGTGAAGAAAGCACCCCATTCACCTCCCTCTGCAGCAGCCAGGGCAATGAGGCGGCTCTGCTTTAAATGCTCTGCCCTCCCGAACACACCCAACCTTAAGAGACCAGTTTCCCAAAGCAATGGTTTAGAACATACGCTAAGAGCCAGCAGAACTGGTTCAGGAAGCTCGCTGAAGGCCCTCTGTTTCTGCCTGACTTCCAGCTTACAGCAGCTATCATAACCAGCTTCAGCTTCCCAAGGTCACTAGCAGCTTCTACTTTTGCTAACCTCTTTTTTTAGCTGTTTTTCCATGGCACTGGTTCTGACGGTCTGTTACACTGGGGGCCTCCAAGGAACCTCACCTCCACTTCATGCCCTCGTGCAGTCTCCTCTTCCCAAATTGGAGCTGGGCCTGGGACTGGTTTTAATCAATAGAAGGCAGTAGAAGTGATGCTGTGACAGTTCTGGGTTTAAGTCTTAAACCTGGCCACTACTGCTTTATACCCTTGGGACCTCTGAGCTGCCATAAATGTGGTCCAGCTACCCTGTGGGCGAGGCCACGTGGAGAAGGTGAGACCTGAGGACCGCATGCAGATGGAGAGGCCCAGCCATCCTGCCAACCACGAGTGACAGCAGCAAGACAAGGAGAGGAACTGCTCAGCTGAGCCCAGCCCAGTTTGAAGAGATGGGGAAAAGCCAGTTGTTGTTTAAAGCCACTCAGTTTTCAGGTGGTTTGTCAGCAACAAGTGATAACCCAAAACTGGTTATCCATAGGTGCATTTTTTTCCTAAATACAATTACTCAAATGAAAAGAAAAGATGACAAACGTTTTCCCACCACGAGTTTCTCAGTCAACAGGCTGAATGGTAATTGGTCAGCTGTTAAGAAGAAACCATGCCTTTTATCCTAAGTTCCCATGATTTCCGCCCCCATGATTTTTCAATGGCAATGCAAGGGGAGACAGTCTGGGGCACTGGCTTAATTATTATTTAGCCAAAATAAGAGGCCATCAAAATGCATTATCCACTACTGGATAAGTGATGATAAATGAAATTGTTCTCACTTCTATAGGGTGTTGTTACTTAATTATCCCCAATCATTTTTCCTCTTACAAGTGCCCTATCATTCCCCACAAAGCAGGGGGGAAACTAAGTTTGTTGAGGTTATCAAAAGAAAAAATGACAATAACTAGAATTTCAATCACCATCATCTGGAAAATATAGAGCACAATTTAACTGCTTCCTCAATTTAAAATAAAATTCCATAAAATATAACACTGTCTACATCATAGAGATGATTTCTTCTTATCTGAGGACATGAGTAATTGGAAATCAGGTATTGTTGAGTTAGAATACAGTGGTCTTTAAATGGTTTCAAATTTTGCTTATCAAAAGGTAGTCAACCACAATGCAAGCCTTCCAAATTCAAATTCATTCTTCATGTAAACTTTCTTGCATCTGTTCTTGATCTTTTCAGGGAGAGGGGGAAAGTCCACATCTGGCAAAGAAATAAGTTAGAATTTTTAAGGAGCATACATCTAAAAGTTTGGCAAGGCAGTAAACCATTTTAAAGTAGATTTAGAGCTTTTAAATATACTATTCATTGAAATAGGAATTTCGACGTGAAATGCTAAAAACTTACCTTTTAAACATACATCACACAATTGGGTCCCTGTCTAAAAAGGTGATTGGAAGGAAGGAGACGTACAAGGGAGACGAATTCCCAGCATCAGAGCTGGGAGGGATGTGGAGTTGAGCCAGTCAGAGGCCCAGGAAGTCCAGTGCCCTGTGTCATACAGCCAGCCAGTCAGAGGCCCACTGGGGTGAAAACTCAGGCATCCTGACTCTGACCATCCAGTGCCATGTCCCCACAGTCCCTAGATCCCTACAGATCATCTCCCAGCACAGCGTGGGTTAACCTACTTTAATAAAAATTGCAGGAATGATGATATCTGCTCTTCATCACCAGTATCAACCATTTTTCTGTAAGTGCTAACCCTGCCCTTCACAGAATTAATTCTGTATTTGATTTCAATATTTAATGAATCCAGCTTGGAAAAAGAAATACAGGCAGAAGAAAAAAGAGGCTGGGTTTTAAAATTCAATTGTGGTTCACTTTGTTAAAACAGTCACAAATTATTTGCCTGCTTCAAAATGTCACAAATGATATAAACAATTAACCAGTAGAGCACTTCTGTTGAAATACCTATTTCTGTGCTTGAAGTCTTGGCGGGTCTTCTCATCTGAAACTTTTCTGCTGCTGCATCAGACCCACATTTTCATAGACTCTAGCATTATCTTCTCTCATTCTGAAAAGAAGAAAAGGAAGACGACACTAATAAAAACGCGGACATACTGCTTAACCTTACACGACAGTTACAATGCACATACTCTATTCTCCGGGGACCGTATGCGGCGCAGACATAGCTCCTGCCCCCAGGAGCTGACATTACAGGAGAGGATATCAGACAGAAACACACAGCAAAATAATTCTGAAGTAAGAGCCTCAAGTCCCTGTGCTCCCGGGGTTTGGCGGAAGGAGAGTTGTTTTCCAGGAGGGTGGAGCGAGGCAGGCCTGTACGATGAGGCATTGGGTTAGACCTTGAAGGAAGGTGGGACATGTGCATAGAGAAAAGAATGGTATTCATTGTGGGCAGAAGGATCTGAATGGGCCAGAGCAATGTAAAGGCAAAGTGTAGGAACGGTTAGGCAGGGACTACAGATCCATTCAGCCCCCAATCCGGCGACATGAAGGTGAACATGAAGCCGACCGGCAGTTTAGGGCCCCAGGGTGGAGGGGCAATACATCAGAGCCCAGACTCTGGTTTTTTGGGGTTTTTTTGCGGTACGCGGGCCTCTCACTGCTGTGGCCTCTCCCGTTGTGGAGCACAGGCTCCGGACGTGCAGGCTCAGCGGCCATGGCTCACGGGCCTAGCCGCTCCGCGGCACGTGGGATCTTCCCGGACCGGGGCACGAACCCGTGTCCCCTGCATCGGCAGGCAGACTCTCAACCACTGTGCCACCAGGGAAGCCCCCAGACTCTGTTTTGCTGAGCAGAGTGGAGACCAGAACAGTCCAGGGGGACGAGGAACCCAGCAGCTCTGGGCTGGTCAGAGAGGAACAAGCTGAAACAAGCAGCAGGGGCCAGGGTCTCCTGGGTCTGCACCCTACAAGGGGGACAACGGGAACGGAGAGGCAGAGAACCTATTAGTCACAGGCAAGCCACTGGTAAACAGGGAGTCGTCAGAGCTGATTCTGTTGAGCCAACATGTAGGGAAAGCTTTCTGGCAAGGACTCGGAGCCCTGACGTGCTGGTTCCACTGCAAATCACTGCAGATAGCAATTTAAAATCAACTTTCCCCATCAGTCCGCTGGGAAAGAAAAAAGCAGGCAGAAGGAAGAGGCGGCTTGGTGGAGAGCATACTTTGGCTATATAATTTCATTTCAATGTTAAATAGAAAGCAAATGTAAATACGAGCCTCATATATGTTATCAAAAACGTTTATATAGAGTACTAAAGCCAACAGGGGTTTAAAAATCCACATCAGAAGCAAACAGGGATAAGACTCCTAGGGGAAAATAAAAAGTAGATGTTATACCAGAGAGTGACTTTAGGATACACAGAAAAAAAATAACTTACAATTGTTATTCACATAATCGATTTAACAAATATTTTCTTATCACGTTTTAGTTTAAACATGGAGTTGGCAAAGCTTTTCTGTACAGGACCAGACTAAAAATAATGTAGTCTCTGTGGGCCATACACGGTCTCTGTCATGTATTATTCTTTGTGTGTGTGAGTTTTTAATAACCCTTTAAGAACCGTCCATGAGCTGTACAAAAGCAGGCCGTGGCCCAGATTTGGCCTGGGGGCTGTAGTTTGCTAACCTGGTTTAAATACCCACAGTAGATTTCTGCTGACTGTGGAAAATTAGACCATGATTGTGTTGACACATTGATGGTCAATTTACTTACTTTTACATAGCGAAGAGTCTTGACTCATCAAAAAGGGTGTTACCTACCTCTGCAACAATCCACACCCCATCAAAAGAAAAATTAGATTCTTGGGACTTCCCTGGCGGCGCAGTGGTTAAGACTCCGTGCTCCCAATGCAGGGGTCCCGGGTTCGATCCCTGGTCAGGGAACTAGATCCCACACGCCACAACTAAGGTTTGCATGCCACAACTGAGGAGCTGGTGAGCTGCAACTAAGGAGCCTGCCTGCCACAACTAAGACCCAGCACAACCAAATAAATAAAACACTTTTTAAAAATTAGATTCTCCTTGGAGAACCAGCACTTGATATCTGTACAGTCCCGTAGACTCCTAGCCAGTGTAGCAAGCAGCCTTCAGTTTAGGTCAACTAAAATTTAGTTTAGCTAGCCACTGGCACACTCAAGAACCAGTTAGGCAACAATAATGTGCACCAAGGAAAGGCATGTGCTGCAAAGACGTATCATTTTTTAAAGCTTTTCTATAGGATTATGTTCAGGTAAAAAGATTTTCCTTCATTTCTACTTACTCTGCACAGGACGGCGTTGGGGTACAAGGCGGGAGGGGACTCTGATCTCCAGTTGCCTGGTCCGTCAGGGAATACTTAATATTTGTGTATTCGTGCCCTTTCCTCTTGCTTTTCTGCAAAGTGAAGATTGCATATATGAAGAACTGTGACTTTTTTGAGGGAATGAAGAAGTCAAAAAGGCATTTCATTAAAAAGGAAAAAAGAGAGAGAGAGTTTGACAGACAGACAAGTTGGACCCTGAATACTGGTATGTTGACCAAATGTCAGGGAATTCACCTCCTTCATGTAAATACATTATATGGGTGAAAAGGACCTTTGAACCATACAGTTCAAAAGCAGAGTCATGCATTAACAACTTACTGTATTAAATGAAATGTACCTGTTTCTGGACTAAGAGAGAATTCACACGCTCTTTGACACATTAGCATCTAATCATTTCATAGTTCACTTGCAACACATTTAATGATTTTCAAGTAAACAGGTGGGAAAAGAGTTTCAGAAATAAACGCACTCCAAGTAAAAACTGCACACAGGTACAAAAGATGGCAGCACTCTTAGCAGAATAATACACTTTATCGTATCGTCCCCACCCCACCCCCACTCCAGAAAAAACTCCAGCACATTTAAAACTTTACTTTCAGCCCAATGATACTCTGGGGGAAAAAAGGCAGAGAAAACCAGTAAAATGTAATCTCATTTCAGATACAGAATGAACTGCATTAGGTAGGACTCTAGTTAGATGATTTATCATTCTTTCCTCCTAAATTCACCCAGAAACAACCAATTCCGAAAATCTAACCCATCAAGTTATCTTCATTATATAATGCTGCCTTCATTACAGGATTATTCAAGAAACAGTAAATGTTAGAAAGAGTAGCCATATCAAATACTGACGTATAGCAGTGACTTTCATTCACTGTTGTTGAGAGGGTGAACTGGTACCATCACTTTGGTACACAACTGATAGTACCAACTGGTTAGTATCTGGTAATGATGAAAAGGCACATATATTTTACAACCTTGAACATTTACTTCTTGAGAAACTCACGCACCCAAGCCTAGAAAGAGCTGACAAGGATGTCCAGTGATGTGCTGTTCCTAACAGTGTTCACCAAGAGAACACTGAATACCTCACAATGAACACCTCACATTCATATCACGAAATAATATGCAACAGTGAAGAGGAAAAGTGCATGTGTGTGTGTGTGTGTGTGTGTATCAAAACAGATTACATACACAATGTTAGGTGGAAAAACACAAACTGCAAAACAATGAAACAGTATATCATCTTGCTAAATATTCTAAACATAAAAACAATGTCATATATTGTATACAGATATTTGTATTTAAAAATTTTTAAATACAAAAAGAGACTGCAAGGTTAGTTACTGCCTTGGGGTTCCGAGGGTGAAGATGAGGGGTGGCCCCGGGGGTGGGTGTCAAACGGAATCTCAGCCATATAGTGGTTACACTTGATTGCTTTTAAAAAGAAAAAAGATTTGAAAGAAATGTGACAAAAGGAAATGGTCTATTATGGGTGTGGTACTGAATGTTTTAAATTTTTCAAAATAAAATGTAAAGCATAAAATAAATTTAAATCCACCAGTGGAATTTCTTTTTCCTCTCCTTGCTCAAAACTCACCAAAAACAACAGCTAAATAAAAAATGGAAAATTTTACTATACATAAAACAAGGGAATGCTACAACTCCAATCTACAAACTATAAAGTGTCTCTGATACAGTACTGTGAAAACTGGACCAAAATAAGAAGGAAGCTGAGAAGTAACACATACCCCTCAGGTGGTAGCAGGAAAAAGAAACCCCTGAATGTCGCTGTCCCAGGAGTGAAAGGCCTGGAGCTGAGCCATGGCAGGCCATAGGAGAAGTGGGGGAAGGCTTGTCAAGAGCCAGTTCAACACAGTAGAAAGGCCCACAGTCTGAAGAGCCTTTTCTGCCGTCCACTGCCACCCTCCCAGCTGAGGTGGCCTAGAGGAGAGGCAGGGTAGGAGGGAGCATTATTAACCCCTCTGACTCTACAGGCATTGCAAAGTGTCAGAATGACCCCCTGAACACCAACACACGGATGTGCTCCCAGGGCGAAGGTAACAGGGCACTGAGACAACAAACCCAAGCAAAGCTGTGGACCTCCTCAGCCACCCTGCCTCCCCTCGCTGTGGACTATCCGGTAATGAAGGGGTCAGCACAGAGCCTATATAAAGAAGGGGGGAAGGTAAAAAAAGGAAAAAGGGAGCAAAGAGCAAAAGGCAGATGGAGAAAACACATCAAAAAAGAACCTAAACAAAGAAAGAAGAAAAGATGAACACAAATAGTTCTGCCTTAATATCACAGACTTTACAGACATGCGCTTTCTTAAAAAAGAGTGTAAATAAGAGATTATATGACAACAGAGGAGATGAAAAGCAAGCTGGCGAAGCAACAAAAGGAAATAAAAGAAAGACACAAAATATAGTAAGTTCAAGTCTACTTAGAGGTAGCAAAAAATTAAATAACTAAGAACATAGAAAGGGACATTGTAAACAGTCTAGAGGAAAACATATTTTTTAAACTATTAATAAAATACATAAAAGTGATGGAGAAAGCTATTAAGAGATTTGATATATATTATGGAATTCCTGAAGATGGGAACAAATAAAACATAAAAAAATATTCTAGGACATAATGCAAGAAAATGTTCCTGAAATCTCAAAGGAAAAAAAAATCTGAACCTGCATTTTATTTTTTTTATTTTTTAATTTTTTTGAATCTGCATTTTAAAAGGAAAAACTTCACAATCAATCTCCCAAACATCAATGATAAAGAATATGCCTGGATTGGATCTCCAGGCAGAAAAAGTCAGTCACATATAAGGGGGGATAATCAAATTGACTTTAGACTCCAACACAGCCACATAATTCCAAAAAATCCTGTGGGGAAAAACAAAAACAAGAATCTTATACCCTACTAAGTTACCCTTTAGATATAAAACCAATGTTCGGACATTTTTAAGCATGCAAAAACTTAGAATGCAATTATCTTAAAAAAAAAAAAACAGCTAGTAATGAAATCTAGCCAACAGAGATAAATCAAAATCAAAACAAAGAATTCAGAGAAACAGATACCGTGATAAAAGGACTAGAGTTTTGATCTAAATACAGCACTAACACTGAACAACTGTCATAATTATAGATATAAATGTCATAAACCATGACAAAAATCAGGAGATAAAAGAAAAATGTGCTAATTCTCTTTCACAGAGTTAAATATCAATTATTATTACAATAAAAACAGTTAAAATTTTCTAAGCACTGGCTTTGTGTCAGGCACTATTTGAATATATTATCTCATTTTAATCCTCATAACAACCTTTTGAAATAGATACTATTATTAGCCCTATTTATTATTTATGTCATTTATTATTTATTTTGGCCACACCACACGGCACGTGGGATCTTGGTTCCCCTACCAGGGATCGAACCCGCGATACCTGCAGTGGAAGCGTGGAGTTTGACCACTGGACCACCAGGGAAGTCCCAGCCATATTTAACAGATGAGGAAGTGGTGTGCAATTTCTAGTCATAACCTTACAACAGGGGTTGGCAAACTAATGGCCTATGGGACAAACCTAGCCCAGACCTTTTGCAAGGCTTGTAAGAATAGTTACTTCATCACAAGTTTAATGGTTTTTAAAGGGTTGTAAAAAAAGAGAGAGTATGCAACAGAGACCATATGTAACTGGGAATCCTAAGAGACTCACCATCTGACCCTCGACAGAGAAAGTCTGACTCCTACGTTAACAGGCAGCTGCTTGCCCTCCACCTCCTCCTACTCTTTGCAACCATGTGAAAAAGGAAACATCCTAAAGGACAGTAGAGGGACAAGACTGAATGTACCTGGGTCCCTGGATGAACCTAGGTCCACACCCTATACCCTCTGATCCCCAAATTGCCTGCCAGCTTGGACTTCTCTATAGAGAAATAAGCTTCTATCTTGTCTAAGGCACTATTATTTAGCCTCTGTTAAAGCAGCCAAACCAATTTATTATAAATTGCAGTCATTACAGAACTTATAGTCTAGGGAAGAAGTTGCAAAAAAGAAATCCGAGGAGAAAATGTTTCATTGAGTCTATATAGTATTTGAATTTTTTGAACTGGTTTTAAAAATCTAAAGTCCTGGGCTTCCCTGGTGGCGCAGTGGTTGAGAGTCCACCTGCCGATGCAGGGGACACGGGTTCGTGCCCCGGTCCGGTAAGATCCCACATGCCACAGAGCGGCTGGGCCCGTGAGCCATGGCTGCTTGGGCTGTGCGTTCGGGAGAGGCCACAGCAGTGAGAGGCCCGCGTACCGCAAAAAAAAAAAAAAAAATTTAAAGTCCTTGTGAATAATCACCTCTGAATAGCAGCCATACACTTTTTAGCACTGAAATGCTGACTTACATAAGGAGTAATTTTTTTAAAGATACAATATAATTTAAAATTAAATATTAGCTGGAAGAATTGACAGAGAGCATCACTTACTTAAAAGTTTAAAAATCCTAACTCTTTTTTTTTTTGCGGTACGCGGGCCTCCCACCGCTGCGGCCCCTCCCGTCGCGGAGCACAGGCTCCGGACACGCAGGCCCAGCAGCCATGGCTCACGGGCCCAGCCGCTCCGCGGCACGTGGGATCCTCCCGGCCCAGGGCACGGACCGGCGTCCCCCGCATCGGCAGGCGGACCCTCAACCACTGCGCCAGCAGGGAAGCCCCTAACTCATTTTTTTTAATAAAAAATTTAAATATACAATAAATAAACTGAAGCATAAAGATGCTTTCTACTCAACACTTTTTTCAAAATTGTGGTTTAAAATAAAACACATGAGATATATCCTCTTTACAAAACATTATGTGTACAGTATAATATTGTTAACCACTTGCTATTGGTGTACAGCAGATCTCTAGAACCTCATCATCTTGCATGACTGAAACTCCACCCCCCATTTCTTTCTCCCTACTACACACTTTCTTGAAAATCAAAATCAATATTTCTACATGAAGTGATGACAAAAGAATTTTCCAATGAGGAATAATTAATGCAAATGGAACAGGAATTATTTTTAAAAATCATAGCAGCTCGAGGAA